TAAGCCTTAAGCGGCAAACCCGACTAGAAGCTTTGAGACGTCGAGAGCCGGGGGAAGCGCGAAATATATCAGTGAATCCATCGGGAGAAGGAATCCAACGCAGAACCAAAGCAAAAATGGATCTTCATCAGAAGAAGAAAGGGAGGGAGGGGAAGAAGAAGAAGCCTGGATAAATCTCGATGAGGATAGTGACATTGAACCGGCCAGCCCTGAAGACCCTTGACAAATACGAGGATGATTTCGTCGACCAAGGTGAGGATGGAATGCTAGGTGCTCCAGATGAACTCAATGATATCCCTTTCGAATTTACAAGACATCGATACAAGCGCTTGAGAGACCATTTCAAGGACGTGGTTGAGTGGATGGTGCATAATAAACTTAATCCCGCATTCCCTCGTGACGACGTTGTCTATCGCGTCGCCTTCAGCAAAGTAAATGATGAGGTAATGGGTCTTGCAGGGTCGCAACTTATTTCCTCCGCGTGGAACAGAGACTTCAGGAAAGCTCTTGAAGCCAGGCCGGGCCTCAATGTCACTCTATATCCCATTTCAATGGGCCACTCATGCGACGCTTGCAATAAAACTAACCACCCCGCTTCGTTTGATATTAAACTTGATGGAAAACCCTACTTGCTTGAGACACTGGAACCAATATCTGATGACGATGAGGAAGACGATGATGAGAGTGGGGATCACAAACCTGGAAATATCGATCGTGGAGGCAATGAGATCCCAGATGCAAGCACTCATTTTTACTTAGGAAGGTAAAAGAGGAATAAGAACCACACCCACGCCCTTCCCCTTCCCCAATGCCCTCAGTAGCACCAGTAGCTAACCAAACCAGACACTGTAAAACCAAAGCTACTATGGCGCACACACTCATCCATTGGCGCTACCACCTCAAAGAATGGATCGTCGACTACCTCCAACGCAAAGGTATATTTTCCGACGCGGAGATCCTAGAACGCGAGCGCTGGAGCCAGAAACGACGTACGAAATACGCCAACCAGGTGGTAGATGATATGGAGGAAGTTGCGGAAATCAATCGGCTGTGGAGGGATTTCAATACAAATTTGAAGACTGCGAGAGAGGCGAAGGTTCGTCCTGGGTTATTTTTATTTTTATTTTTATTTTTATTTTTATTTTTATTTTTAATTACTTTTGGCTTTATTTATATATCCTTTCTCCGATCCTTCCCTTTTTTTTCTTCTTTTGTTTCTAACAAATGGACGACCGTCGCTCTAGGAATCTCGATGGTGAATACTCTTCTTTTTTGGCTTGTAGTCGTGCTTGATTTCAAACTAGCTCTGTCATACACACTGTGTCGGAAGGAGAGCTGGCTGCGACAAAATTATCCACCAAATCCACCACCAAGAATGCCACTCACCTAATGAGCGAGATTTTACCGCACAATTGATGATTGTGATGATGATTATCCTAAATATCTTCCATTTTGCACCTAATAACGATTAGGATATTAGCAGCTAATCCTTGGGCATAAAAAGCCTGGTAAATTCCCTGTTGGTTAAGAAGGGATCAGAGTTTTAGCTAGCAATTATTCAAGATAAGATACAATCCTACTGCGAATGTTACTGTATTACACGATTGATAGCCTCGAACCAAACGAACGAGATGGGAAGTTACTAGACAAAAAAGAATCAAAATGCCAATCCATAGGAGATTTGAAGCATTGTCTACCAGCTATTGTCCGGTTTGATGGCATGCAGCTGTCGAAGTATCACTCTCGCCTGGTCTTTGAAGGACTGCTTTTGGCTTTGTGAGAGATAAGGCCATGCAACACACAAAGCGACACCAGAGCTTCTCTCTTGGATTAATACTTGGCGGCCACGGATCAGGGATATTTGTGAGTATTTTTGGATTAACTATAATTTAAAGGCAGTGGAAGAGTCAATCAATATCTTGCCGGCAAAGTAAATCTCTGGTACTCTGACATTCCCAGGTACATTTTTAGCGATAGAGATAGTGTCAACCTCATTAGCATCGGCGAAAGAACAGGCAATCTCTTGCGTGTCATGGGGATGGCTTGATTTGACAATGACATTGCCAGGTGCAAACACATCACGACCACTTTCGCCTGCAGGGTAGATCCGGATAGATTCATCGTAGAGGCCGATTACCGACTCGCAGTCCGAGGATTGGGAGCCAACGTGCTCTGTTTTGACATGAAAATGGCCTGGTTCCGGGCGACACCGTCCGTAGAGTGGAAGATTCGCATACAGGTCTGTGGGGGATGTATGTACGTAAGGGTCCATGGTTCAAGCAAAAATAAGAATATTGATATTGAAAACAATATCTAGGCTACTACTCCCTTACTCTCCTGATCCCAGGTTACTCAGATAAACAAGGGGGTGATGCCAGGGCTGGCCACTAATTGAGGTTTATAATGAGAGTCGATATTCTCTGCATAACCGAAGCAGTCTCTTCCCTTCAGTTTGAAGAGCATTTGCTAGGTTTTCTTTCTTACAAGGCTTTGCTTGTGTTTTCCCCAACCGAATCCCTCATCACAACGATTCTTTCCTGTAAACATCGCTCCACATAGACAACGTAGAGTTGATAGCACCTCAAGAACGCTTTCTTGTCAGCTAGTTTATTTTTATCGTCAACAAAGCACAATGACATACCCACTATCAAACCAAGGGGATGTTGATTTTGATTTTTTCTTTCAGAAATGCGCTTAAACAAGTGATATACGCTGCACCACCACTCATCACTCGGCCCTCGCGGGTCGAAATGTATACCCGGGCGATCTGCGCATGGCTTCGTATGGCGCTTTTTTCGAGCCCACAAGATAGTCGAGAGTTTTCAACATAGATCTCTAAGATGATAGGCCGTGTGGCCTTTCACCATTATGCACCCAACCGGTCGGTGTCACGCATTGGCTAAGCGTAATATCTGTGGTCCACTTCAGGTCCACTTCAAGTTCACTTCTGGCTCAGGAATCACCTGGAATGCTCGCGCGAATATTTCCGATAACGGAGAGGGGCGGAAGATGTCGGAGGATCTGGTTTTCGATGCCACGAAGATGTAACTATGAATTGTATTGCTGGAGCTGGAGTCTCCAAAGGGTTCTCAGAAACGTCGCCGTCGACAGCACTGTCTCCAGTTATGGATGTAAGTTAGTTATTTTCTAAAGCTTACTGTTTGCTTTTCTTGTCCTTTCTTCCCCAGGGCCAATTCCGTGAGCAGCCTGGGCCAGGCTTGCAGATAGGCGCGATAAGATAACAAACACCTAAGAAAACACCCAGGCAGCCCAGGCTTGGCTGCAAACGGCCCTGTCTGGCTTGGTGTTGCCAAAAAAAATTACCTCAGTCATACTATACACCTCAGTTCAACGTCCTTTGATACTGCGGTTGTTCACAACACAGCGTGAAGAAATTCCCTCGTCCTTTCTGTCGCTTGGAGATTGTTTGGCATGGTAGATCAATTGTTGGTTTAAGTTGCCATTCAGCTCATTTTCTATTTGCTGTCCTTTTCTCCGCGTGTAGCTCGCTCGCCGCGCGACAATGGCCTGCAAATTCCTCACGACTCGACCCAATATGTTCTCGCGCTCAGCTGTCCACCTGTCACCAGCAGCCTGCAGCTCTCTCTCGATTCTGTCGATCTCGGTCTGGTCACTACGCTGGGCCATTGAGGCACGCTTCTCTGTCCCAACCTGCCCTCCAGAGATCGTTCCGAAGGACCCATGCAGATCTGCCGGCTCCTCCTCCTTCTCAGCCCTCGGCACCGAAGCGGAGGTTCAGGGTTTTCAGATGGATGTATAGATTGACTCTTATGTCTTTGTTAGCCGGTGCAGGCGCATTGGGATACAGCGTCTACTTGGTCCGGAATCCAGATGAACAAATACAGCGTGATGAATCCAAGAAAACGCTGGTTATTTTAGGTGCGCTAGACGTCCAGGTTTTGGTACTATACTAGTGCCGATCTCTCTACATCGATATGGGAAGCTATTTATATACTGATATATATGGGCCTCGGTTTTTAGGAACGGGATGGGGATCTGTATCCCTATTGAAAAGACTCGACACGGAAAACTACAATGTGATCGTGATATCGCCCCGCAACTTCTTCCTCTTTACTCCGCTTCTCCCGTCGTGCACGACCGGTTTGATCGAGCATCGGTCGATTATGGAGCCTATCAGGAACATTCTACGCCATAAAAAGGCTGCGGTAAAGTACTACGAAGCCAGTGCCACTAAGATTGACCCCGTGAGGAAGGTGGTGCGCATCTGTGATGAATCGGATATCAAGGGCGATACATCGACAACGGAAGTTCCTTACGATATGCTGGTGGTCGGGGTTGGAGCGGAGAATGCTACTTTCGGTTAGTTGCTCGAGATTCACACTGAGTATGGTTATATGTATAAACTGATACATATATCTTCTTATTCCATAGGTATCCCCGGCGTTCGGGAACATTCGTGTTTCTTGAAGGAAGTTGGCGATGCTCAGGAAATCAGGAAGCGAATAATGGACTGCGTGGAGACTGCGATTTTCAAGGACCAGACCAAAGAAGAGGTCGAAAGACTTCTCCATATGGTAGTTGTTGGTGGTGGGCCAACCGGCGTTGAGTTCGCCGGTGAACTGCAGGACTTCTTCAATGATGACCTCAGGAAGTGGGTGCCAGAGATAAAGGATAGCTTCAAAGTTACTCTCGTAGAGGCCCTTCCAAATGTATGGAGTTTATCCTTGTATCTCTTCAATTGTTTCCCACTAGCTAATTCTATTTTTTTCCCCCTCAGGTGCTTCCCACCTTCTCCAAACAACTGATAGACTACACCGAATCCACTTTCCAAGAAGAAGCCATCACAATCCGGACGAAGACTATGGTGAAGAAGGTCTCCGATAAATATATCGAAGCGGAAGTCACTAAGCCCGATGGAACTAAAGAACTCGAGACAATTCCCTACGGCCTCCTTGTCTGGGCTACTGGCAACGCTGTCCGCGGTGTTGTCCGTGACCTCATGAGTCAAATACCAGCTCAGAGTAAGTCGCGACGTGGCCTTGCAGTCAACGAATATCTTGTCGTGAACGGAACGGAGAACATCTGGGCTGTCGGCGACTGTGCGGTGACTAATTATGCGCCGACAGCGCAAGTGGCTAGCCAGGAGGGTTCATTCCTGGCCCGTTTATTTAACTCCATGGCCAAGACGGAAGCCATCGAGGCTGAATTAAAGGAGCTCTCCACCGCACAGGCATCAGCCCCAAGTGACGAAGAGCGCAACAAAATCCTAGATCGGATCAGAGCGTTACAGAAGTCCCTACGGAGAACAAAGCAGCTAGGCCCTTTCCAGTATTCCCATCAAGGGAGCCTTGCATATATCGGCAAGGAGCGCGCTGTAGCTGACGTCAGCTGGCTGAGTGGAAACATCGCCAGTGGTGGAACTTTAACTTATCTCTTCTGGCGGAGCGTCTATCTGAGCATGTGCTTCAGCAGTAAGTTTACGCTTTCTAGATAACTCGAAACTTGCTATAAGGCACGTAGACTTTTTGAAGGCTAAAACTAATGTTCCTTTATTCTCAGCTCGTAACCGAGTCCTTGTCGCGTTTGACTGGCTGAAGGCCAAGATGTTCGGCCGTGATGTCTCGCGGGAATAATAAACTGAAATTCAACGGAAGAAACTCAGTTCCTCCAAGCGTCTGTCGTATCGCCTTCCCACTACTCCCTACCACCGGGCCCCCAGGTGCTAAGGCAGCGCATAACCTCGTTTATCCAAGATCGGAGGCAGTTGCTGCTCTAGCCCCTATCTACTAAGCCTGGTGCCCTGTAGTCAAGCGAAATAGACCCAGAACGCGAAATAAAGCGCCAAATCTACATGTTTGCCTCTTTACATGATTTCTCGCAAGTTTTGTTCCTCAATTGATGCTCCTTAATTTTCTCTCTCTCTTTTGTTTGTTTATTAGAAAAAAAGCTTGTTTTTAATCTCCTTTGTCCTACCGTTTTTATCATTTTCTAATTTAAACTTCTTTCCTGCCTGGCGCCTTGTCTTAGCAAAAGCCGTTTTTTATACTATAGCTTGTACCTGTTCCCCCGCCATCCAGCACGCCCCCCTTTGTTTTGTGCTTGACTACCCCATATATATATATATTTTTGCCGAACATTTCCCGATCTCTTGAATCCAATTAATTACTAACAAATATACACTTACTAATCACCCTCTTTCGTACCAGGTTTTTGTTGGGGGGATTGGGTTGGGTGATTCGTACCACCACGGCGCTGGTGGTGATCGAGCTCTTTTGCCCTAGTGGCCTAATAGTCTTCTCAGTTCACATTTTATCTCAGCTCTGTTCTATGGTAGCAGATGGCCTACCTTAAAGCGCTGAGTTGTGTTTTCAACACTGGTGTTGATATAGCTCTTCTCGACCTTCGTTCAATTCCCGGCGGTTTTTATTGTATTTCGCTTCTTTTTCTTGTTCTTCTTCTTTTCATTCATTCATACTTATTTTTTCCCTTCCCTTCCTTCCTTCTTTTTCTTTTCTTCATTGTATTGTACTCCTGCATGTACATGAGACAGCATGTGCAGATATCTAACTTCTTTTCCGCCCGAAAATCACGAGTAATATTTATAACGGGCTTTGCTTGGGAGTTTGTCTTCAGAAGTGAGATGAGTCGTTTCCTTAGCTCTGTACAATGAACGATCTGACTACTGCATGATAGCTTCCCCCCATTCCTCCAGGCTGCCCCCCCTCCTTCTCAGAGCTTCATATGATTCTTAGAGACTTTGCTTCGCTCCGTCTAATATAGCAAAGAATTTTATTAATATTTTTTGCATCTTTTTATCTTCTATTATAAAATAGCTTTGTAAATTGCTCTCTAGTGAGCAGATAGTGAGTGTGTGGTGTATTTTTCATACTCCTCTCTAGTTTCGTCATCTTCCCGTCACCTTCCTTTTTTTCTACACAGTTAGTATCTAGCTGTTGATTGAGCTCCATCTAACCAATCATGACTGACTTGCAAGCTGGGCCAGCCACCTTTCTAGATCAGCCATGACGCGCTCCCCCATCGTCTCATCAACAGTGCAGTCAGCCCAGCTGGCACCCACATACAATCCCCGGCCAGCGACGCTGACTGGAGAGAACACGATGGCTGCAGACGGGACCTCGACGCTGAGGCCAAACCGGGCTTGACTGATCGACCATCTCTGGGCGTTGTTGGTATGGTCCCCGGTCGTCGGCAGCGACGGTGGCGTGTTGCCGCCCAACACACCAATGTTAGTCACCAGCCACGAGAATTGGCGCGTCTTTTTCGCCATGCCGCTCATCGTCCGCTGCCAGTCCGTAACGTACTTAAACATCCCGACCAAATCATTTCGTAGCCCGGCTTCCAACTTGTTCACTATCTCCAGTCGGTTCTGTGTCGATACGGCCCAGAGCTCACGCTGAAGGTCGGCGGATAGGTCTCCTCCCTTGTTGGCGACACCGGCCGGCGGCAGCTTGGAACGGATCCGTGCCACTAGCTTTGTGTCCCATCTATGGAGGCACTGCGTTACGTAGTTGCTCACTGACCTGTCAAATCGAACCCACGGAGCGTCTGGCGGGGCCGGAGGCAGATTCCGGCGGTGGTCTACCATGGTAGAGCTTTGAAAGGCCGGGGCAGCGGCGGTGTCAAGATGAGATGAGAAGGCTATAAGCGCTAGCCCGTTTATCAAGCCAGTGATAGTAGTCTGGTTCTGCCTGCAGAGTGCTTGGATCGCAAGCAGAGATTGATGGTCCGTGGAAAAGGCCCGGAACTGGGTTTTGTATGGAGAGGGGCGGATCGGGCACCAGGCTGCCCACGATACGTCCCGGTTAAGGAACTGAGGCCGAGCTTCCTCCCAAAATGCCTTGGCAAGGACTTTCAGATCTACCGGAAGACTCTTCAAGCTTTCGATTGGGGATGGCAGCAAGGGGGCTGCTTGAGGCAGCCGAAGGACATGACCATCCAAGCCCGTCCGCTCGTGTGCTCCATTGTCAGCATTGAGCATCTCGAGAAAGTCTTCGTGGAACACCTTGGCACCCATAGCATCGAACTGGGTGTGATTCCAAGTGAGCAGGACCTCCATGAAAGGAGCATTCCCTTGTCGAATGACAGTCATCTTCCAGCCCGGCTGCCTTATAGAAAGGTCTGGGAAACGCTCATCGAGCTGAGTGCTAAAGGTCTCCCGCACCGTGTGTTCAAAGTCGTCATTCCCTGTGAGATAAACCCATTTTATATGCTGGGTCAAGTCGAGACTCTGCAGCTGGATCCACGAGGGGGTCTTGGAAGTAGCATCCACCATGCCGACTTGTAGCATCGGATGTCTCATGACTATGTCCACGATAGCAACCTCAACTGCCTCCTCCAACTGGGTCCGCGACTCTGCAAGCATAAGTCGTGGCGGGATTACATAACGACAAGAGAGGGTAGTGCCACGGTACTGGTCAAGTATATACATGGCCAGTTGGTACGTTTCGCTTGACGCAGTGTTTGTTAGTTAGAAGCCAAAGCCACGAGATGCCATGCCAGTATACGAGGATAGGTGAACACCTACTTGATTCCAAACTTACGAAGCACTGTCGTCTCTGCGCCATGGTTCATTTTGTTTGCCATGGCTCGTTGCCGGTGTGGGGAATCAAGAGGAGACCGGGGCTGGTGGATACTTGATTGCAGCCAAGAATTTTATTATTGAGTATCCGTAAAGGTTGATATGTGGAACCTTGGAACTCTTGGCAAGTCACATGATGTCAAGTGTGGCATGTGTGCAAGAGTGTTTTCTCAATAAATATTTGACTACTTAGTTAATCATTTAAAAAGTGATTGTAAATTATTTATTTTTTACATTTATCCAACGGAGCGAAGTGGAGTTTTAAGTAAAATCGTTTTTACAGGAGGTAAATTTTTCGTTTAAATTAGATTTTTTTTAGATCGCGTGCTCGATATATACTCCTTCCCACACATCAATCCATGCCATGTTGTATGCCATTGGATATAAAATCTGTTCGTGCAAGGAGGTACAGGCTGAATATGACAAGCACCACAATTATGGTAACAGTTACACAGATGATTGTCTTGGATGCATTGCTCGTACTCGCTGTGATGGCTGCTCGCCGTACATGGACTATCAACCTAACATGCTACAAAACAGCCTTTACTTCGAGACTTTAAAAGTCCTACGACACCATATGCGATCTTCGCACAACTTCAGTCTATCCCGCGAGCACCATTGTGTCGAACATCTCCACCAAAAAACCGCAGCTTTAGTTGAAGAAGCAGAAAGCGCAGCCAATCTTACCAGGATAATCTCTCAAAGGTTTGGTTAACTGAGAGCGCGATATAGGGTTACACCGAAGAGACAGGTGCATGTATGGATTTATATTGCCACAATCAGAACCGGGGTTTCCCTTCTCTTCCATCGCATCATATATTGTATATGCAACACACCACACCTAAGGCCAAACAAGCTCCGTACAGAGACCACTACATATCAGACATGTCAACTACCGATTGTTCTCGCAACTGTAGCTTGGCCCAGCCTTGTCTTGTTTTGAGCTGGTTGCTGACACCTCCCTACAGAATCAACCTCAAGCACAGTGGAGCAGCCTCTGGAGCAGATTTGCTTGTGTGTTCTCAATAAATATTTCATTAGACCACTCTAAAAGCTTGCTGGAATGCCTGTGGAAAATGCCGGACTCTGCTTGCATGTATTCAATACTGAAATAAAAACTAAAGCTTTTATGACAGTTTGTTTGCTCTCAAGAATTGCTGTATATCAAAACCATTATAAGCCTGGTTTTTGTTGTGAGAACCTGTTCTGCATCCAGAAGCTACATTTATGATATAAATGAAACCCTGGCTGAGATTCTTTGAAGCAGGGACAGGATTAGTATACATCACCCCGCCATGCCAGCCAACGCAGAAGCAGAAGACGAAGAAGCTCTCAACAAATAACCCTCTTTCGAACGCGACAAACAACGAACTCATATTCACCACCACCACATCACATTGCTATCCCAGTCAATTTGCTCAACGTTTGACCCCAGCACCTCCACAGCAGCCTCACTAATAGGGCTTACACCAGGCCCAGTTGTTGCTACTGTCGTAACTACATATTTGACCATTGGGACAGTTGACCTGAATCTCCCATTTTAGTCCACTTCCGCGGTTGGCACAGACAAGTATATGCGGACTCCTGTTGATTCAAGGTTTTGCAATTAGCCATCTACCATACAGCAAGGGAGTATACAATTACAAACCGCTCCTGATTGCTGCTGCTGCAGGCAACACATGCAGATCTATCGCATGGCTTCCCAGGTTTGAACTCCATGGCCAAGTCACTATCAGGAGCGACCACAGGGAGAGGCAGCGGCCAAACCAGCAATGGCAAGGACTAGAGAGGCAAGAGTGATCTTCATTCTGTCGGTCAAAGATGAACTTGAGGAATATGAGATGATATATGGAAATTGTTGATGGTTATTTTGGCAAACTGAAGAAAGTGATGATGAATTATGATTTTAAAAAGCAGACTTTGAAGAGAGCGATGACCACCTCTTTATAATCAACACAATTGCCTTCATTATGATAAGTTAAAACATTTAAGAGTTCTCATCAAAATTGGAATCATTAACTCAGTCACTTTGCATTATTACACTAATTTGGCACAAGAAACACTCTGGGACAAAGATGACAAGCAAGGTACTATATTCTCATACTCCTTTGATATAATTCTACAACGCGGCTGAGCTATGTGATAAAGAACTTCAACTGTGAATGAAGCTATCATGAGAAGATGTCATTTCTTCTGGAGTTTATTTGTGTAAGCTGTTAAGCTAATTTGAATAACTATAGAATCAAGTGCTTGATTAACAGATTCAGATAGAAACTCTTTGATGT